ATAGAAGAAATAATCGAAGAATTAAACTTGCATAAAAGTAGAAAAATAGGTTCGAATTACCACATAGGGTTCCAATAAAATCCTAGAATAAAAACTTGGCTACTCGTAATTCTTATGATAAACAAAATAAAAATAAAAGAAATAAGAAAAACTATGCTTGAGTCTATGTTGATCTTCGTTCTTCGTGTTTTGTGGTGTAAAATTTTGTGCTTATGGTGTAGAGACATGTTGCTTTTATAGGCTTTTCTTGATAAGGAAGTAGTAGAAACCTAATAGGAATCAATTTCCGCCACTTTCCCCCTATCAGGACTTGTTATTCGATTTTCGCCATGTTGGAGTCCGAATTTTGGAATATTGTGTAAATAAGAATTGTAGCCCTTGAAATTAGCTTTCCAATGCCGCCAAAATCACCTAATTCGGAGTTCGTATGAGAGAGATATGCTCGAAATCGTGGACACTGTCAAAGCTGTGGCGAGATTCCTTCTTCCAATTTGATTTGTTTCCTTATTTACAACTTTTTCCTTTATTTTTGATCTTTTTTCCTTCATGGACACCTAATTCTCGTTTTTCACCTATAAAACACAAAATCAATCAATTAAAGCACAAATATAATTAAATCTAAACAAAAGATCCACGTAAAGTAAACGTATTGAGTGTAAAATCTACACTCAACACACCCCCAAACTTGAACTTTTGCTTGTCCTCAAGCAATCTCTAATCGTAAGCAAATAACTCAACTACCGCATCTTATCACATAGATTAATGACCAACCTCACGTTTTCAGAACTTGTAATTATAATGAAAATTCATAGGCATTCGCAAGCTCAAAATTCAAAAGCACTTAGTCACTTACCATAGCCAAAAACCACAAATCATGCAATTGCTTCAAGCATCCAATATTTGTAAATTAAAGATAGAAAAAAGTTATGCTTACATGTATATGTTTGACTCCAAATACTCACCAAAATATATTACTCTACTTATATCGAACATTAAGCTATTGGGATCATTGGGGCTTTTTGGCTTTCAATTGTTAGGCTTTTTGGTTCGAGGTAGGAAATATGGGTATATGTGGCTATTCTTCTTGAATTGAGGTGATTACGCCAAAATTTGAAATATAAGCGTTTGAAACAATGAAGTCACCTCTAAGGACTTTAATAAACTCGATTCTTAAGAGTTCAAAAGTCTCCACTTTTCCTCTTAAGATAATGGATCGAGCTTTCAAAACAATTCAACAACTAGTCCTTACTTCTCCCTTCTAGTCTCTTCTTCTTCTCTTTTTTTTTTCTTCTTTTTTTTTTTTTTTTTTTTTTTTGAAAAATAGACACATATATATTTTTCTTCTTCTTTTCTTTTTTTCTCTTTTTTTTTTTTTTCGAGGAAGAAGAAGGACCTTATTAAAATTTTCAACCGAACTCCAAGGGGTAATTTTTCAAGAATCTCCATCTATTCTACCTTATACACATTGGCTAAAAGAAAAAACACCTTTTCTCCGAGGCTCAAATCAAGGTTTTAAGGAAAATTTCGATAAAAAGGTCGGCTTGAAAGGCTCAAACGGATCAAAGAAGGCCCAAATCATATCCCAAATCACTCACTACTCAATACTTCGTATCATAAATTTCCTAAGGTGAGGTCTAAAACCGAACATATCATGATCTAACACAAATTAACTCCAAATTTAAAATACAAAACATTCAACCAAAACAATGCACAAAGTGTGATTCCTAGCAATAATTCGTTTCTAAGTTCCGTTGAATCGAAAGCTAAACAAACATCTAATCCTTAGCACAACAAAACAAGCAATTTCATCATTAAACATTGATCATCTCTCATCATCATAACTCATCGATGCGTTCGACTCAAGCAATTTTTTTTTTTTTTTTTTTTTTTAAGAAAACAATAAATAAACGAAAAAAAATAAGATAAAATCCTAAGGCATGCAAACTAAAAAATTAAAGCACATAAAAACAAGTAATTTTCCACCCCCAAACTTAAAATTTACATTGTCCTCAATGCAATTAGAACAAAGTTCAAGGATAGAATACACCTGATTAGTCGAAAGGTCCTTCTCCGGGATGCACTCTTTGATGTTCGTTTAATCCACATTTAACGTCTGATCCCTTAGTGTTTGATTTTCGACCTAAAAATTAAAACAAGATTAAATTATTAGTTTGCGCATGCTAAAATCCTAAGAAAAATAAAAATAAATAAAAATACGAAAATCGATAAATGCTTGGGTTGCCTCCCGAGAAGCGCTAAGTTTTAAGTCTTCAGCCAGACTTTGCTTCTTAAAACTGTTATGTCCAATCCAAAGCCTTGTAGATTGCGCATCCATCCATGAGCTCTATCACTTTAATTGCAACCAAGGCATGGATAGCATTGCAATATATCAGGGTCCACCTTAGCTTGTAGTCTTTCTTGGTTGTAATCAATCGGTACGAAGCTAAGATGGGATCTTCATCACCCGCTCCCTCAAATCGGTACACAAAAACCTCAAGTGTGCGTATAACCTCCACCTCAAAAATATTAGTCTTCTCATCAGCCACTATTGATGCCTTCAAATCCACATTTAGATCAACGACGGAGTCCACAACTAGAATATCTTCAATCATTACATCCATCTCATTCTTCTCTTGTTCTGAGGCATCTTCGTGGTTTAGCTCGATTGCCTTCTCAGATTCATCATGCTGAAGTGTCTTCGTAATTTCGATTTCTTTCACATCGACACTATTTTCCGGACATAGAAGATTTTTCTCACTGCATGCTTCACCCGAATTTTCTTTGATATAACCATTACCGATTTCGTCTGGAATATTTTCAAGAGATTCAGATTTTAATTTGAGCGTCATCTCTTCCAGTTGTATCTCCATGTTTTGAAATGATGCTTGAGTGGACTTCATGAATTCGGCAATGAGGGATACCAAATCAACTTGTTCATCAGTGGTCTGCTGCTGCTGCATTGGATAATAATTTTGGAAATCATCAAATTGTGGCTCTCTATGTTGAAACTCGTTCAAATCTTGGTCTTGAAAGCTTTGCTCGTATGTGTTGGTGTAGGTGTTCCCATAATCTCTGTTGGTAATTTCGACGAAATTTGTCTCTTTTGGTGATCCCCAACATTGATTGGAATAATGATTTCCACCACATGCTGAACAAAACGGAGGCATATCATAGGTGTTTTGGAGGTATTCGTCAGATGGAAGCCATTCGTATCCCGTTTGAGGTGCCCCAACATTGTAACCAGACATGTAAAAAAAAAAAACAAAAAATCAAAATTAAAAATAAAAATAAAAATTAAAATTAAATGGCTAAAGTAAGAAAAATTGCTCAAATTTGATATTAGAATAAATAAATAATTTAGCCGTATTCCCCGGCAACGGCGCCAAAAACTTGTTGGGTGCAATCTAAATACCCACACGCAAGTGCACGTATCGCAAACAAGTAGTAAAGTAGACTCGTGAGAGTCGGATGTCGATCCCACAGGGAATACGCAAATTATTTAATCCTAAGTACCAAATTTTAACAATTACGATTTTTATCCAGCCTACGCAAGTTTGTCAAATTAATTAACTAAATAAATTAAACTAATTAAGAAAGCAATTAAACAAGATAAAATATCAATATAAAACGGATCTAGGATTTTATCTTCCCCCTATGCGATAATTCTTCACCCAATTAACCTCCTATCATGCAAGTTACGATTCCAGATTATTAACCCAAGACACGAAATTACTCATAACCAGCTGTCGCTGTATTATAAGTCTATTATTCATAAAAGATTCACTATATGTCTATGCAAACCTAGTATAAATAAAGCATTAAATAACAAGTCTCGTAAACGGCTACCTAAGGTATTATCTATATGTCTACGATAATACATGCAATTAACACACTCATCCGGTGAAAACTACTCAAAGGCTCTTCTATCCCTGTTCTAATTATTAAAACGATCTGTCAATCAATTCTAACAATAACAAATAGCAACATAAGTTAGCTACGCTCATGCACTAAATAAGATCAAGATAGAAGAAATAATCGAAGAATTAAACTTGCATAAAAGTAGAAAAATAGGTTCGAATTACCACATAGGGTTCCAATAAAATCCTAGAATAAAAACTTGGCTACTCGTAATTCTTATGATAAACAAAATAAAAATAAAAGAAATAAGAAAAACTATGCTTGAGTCTATGTTGATCTTCGTTCTTCGTGTTTTGTGGTGTAAAATTTTGTGCTTATGGTGTAGAGACATGTTGCTTTTATAGGCTTTTCTTGATAAGGAAGTAGTAGAAACCTAATAGGAATCAATTTCCGCCACTTTCCCCCTATCAGGACTTGTTATTCGATTTTCGCCATGTTGGAGTCCGAATTTTGGAATATTGTGTAAATAAGAATTGTAGCCCTTGAAATTAGCTTTCCAATGCCGCCAAAATCACCTAATTCGGAGTTCGTATGAGAGAGATATGCTCGAAATCGTGGACACTGTCAAAGCTGTGGCGAGATTCCTTCTTCCAATTTGATTTGTTTCCTTATTTACAACTTTTTCCTTTATTTTTGATCTTTTTTCCTTCATGGACACCTAATTCTCGTTTTTCACCTATAAAACACAAAATCAATCAATTAAAGCACAAATATAATTAAATCTAAACAAAAGATCCACGTAAAGTAAACGTATTGAGTGTAAAATCTACACTCAACAAGAGGCGTGCTCTTGATTCATACATGTTGACCGAGCGAGGGAGCGTCTCGCATTTTGTGAGTCGCCACCCGCCGGTCCTCTGGAGATAAAGGCAATGACTCCCCGGGTGGGTTGATTATCATTGTTATCTTGTTCGTGCCGATGACCCCCCCTCTCGTCGTTGCGGTTGATCTCAATTGTTATCTCGGCGTGGGAGGTCATCACGGCGCTTGTTTCGAGGCTTATCGATGTATTCGCCTAAGTGTCCCTGCATGATCAATTTTTCAATTGCTACTTTGAGTTGTGCACATTCCTTGGTAGTATGTCATCTGTCCTTATGGAATCGACAGTAGCGATATGATTTTTCTCGTTTCGCATTTGGCTGCATTGGTCGTGGAAGTTCTGCTAGACCTCTTTGTTCTATCACATGAAGGATTTCTGTGAGGGGAGTGTTTAGCGGAGTGAACCAATTGTAGGAGGAAGATGATTGGCCTTGAGGTGGGAGTGGTGGACGTCTATCATCTCGTCTTCTAACATCATGTCGATCATCTTCCCTCTTTCTCTTGGGAAGAGCATGGGTAGGGGCTTCTTCTATTCGTACGTATTTCTCGGCTCGGTTCAGCAATTCCTCTAGGTTGCCTGGAGACCTTCCAGCAATAGATTCTTTGAACCTACCCGGCTTCAAGTTTTGTTGCATGATCCTGGAGAGCATGTCTGGTCCTACACTTGGGACTTCGTGGACGGCTTCCACAAAACGCTTGATGTAGTTGCGAAGCGTTTCGTTGTCTCTTTGTACTACAGAGAAAAGGTGGGCTGGGGTCTTGGCATACTGTTTGTTAATGGCGAATTGATTGGTGAAACGTGTTGACAATCGAGCGAAGGTGTCGATTGATCCTGTAGGTAGAGAGTTGAACCAAATCATGGCCCTCTTGGAGAGAGTGGTGCGGAACATTTTGCACATTGCAGCATCTGTTGGGCCATACAAATCTACCATGGCGTTAAATTTCTCTATGTGCTCTTGTGGGTCGGTGGTTCCTTCAAACTGAGGTAACCTGAGATCTTCACTCCTTGAGGTAATACCTCGTTGAGAATGTCCATGGTGAAAGGACTGCGTCTTACTGGGGCGGGTATTCTTCCGCCAATTGGATTGTTCAATTGGTGGAAGGAAATTTGACAAGACATTCTGCTATTTACCTCGCCTTCTCCCTCATTAAAGAGAGGGACTCTCTATGGAGACGCATTCCCCCGTGGTGGTAAGCGCTGATGATGTTGTCTGGGCTGTGCCCCCCTGTGATTGGTGGATAGTTGAACTCGGGACCGTGGGTCCGAGGTGGACGAGGAGACACTTATTTGGTTTTGGACCGGCGGTGGTGCCATAGGTGGCACCACAGCTGGAGCAGGTGCTGGTATCGCGTTGGGAGAATTTGTTCCCATCGTGGCGATATATTAGGTCACGGCCTCTGTGGCGGCGCGAGTTGAGGCTTCTGCTATCATACGTTGGAGCGCATCCTCGGTTATCTGAACCGTTCGGGGAGCAGGGAGTGGCGGATCGGCGAGTCGTGGGTCCCGAGGGGGGATCACCTGAACCTCGCGAGGCGGATCCGGAGCACGTGTAGCAGGTGGCAAGCCAGAGCCTCCGCGGATTGGGAGGTTGCTAGCTGTGTCATTTTCTCTCCGAGCGGATGCCTCAGGAGGATCTTGCTGGCTACGTGATCTGGTTTGCAGTTTCCCACAGACGGCGCCAAAATGATGATGGTAATTACTTAGATCACCTGGGGTAGTGTAGAAAACGAGTTAGGAGAGCAAGGCGGATCAATAGCTTAGCAATTTGATGATCCTGAGGTCCCTGCGAAATGAACACACGTGAACTAAGTCGGGGGTTGATCCGGCGTAAACCCCTCCGACGCTCAAGTTAGATGTACGGATCGTGGAGATGGTAGAGAGAATAAGCACTCTAGATTACTTGTAAATAATAGAACGTACCTTAACAAATGAGTAAAAACCTCTATTTATATGTCGTTGATTGGGTTGGGTTTACTTTGTTGGGCACAAGCCTTATTTTGAAGGTGCTTGAGTTTTCGTGTAGTGGGCCCAATTATTAAATAAATTGGGGGCCCATTGGGTTGGCCCAATTAGTTATATCATTTTGCAAAAATTACAGGTAAGTACATATGCATTTGCATACAACAAAAATGGCGAAGAGAAATAGGAGGAATTGAAGGTCATTTTCGCCCCTCCCGTTGTTCTCCCTAGCAAAGTGCCAAACGAGCATGATGTAATTGTTTTGTCATATGGGGAAGAAGTTGAAGGTCCATCCAAAAGACATTAGAGATGAAAAGAGCAACGGATAGTTCCCGCACAGACAGTTACATGAATCACCAATGTACCTCCAATTGTTTAGATTTCGAAGGATGACCTGAACAGTAGCCAATTCAACGTTTGGGATTACTTAACATATTACTTTGATTCGGAGTGCTCTTTTAGCATATAGTTGAGCACGACGAACTACAAACATGGATGTACGTTCAAATTTCGTACTTTCAATATGTTAAACTCGAACAAAAAGATGAATCATAAAGATGGCATCAGTTCTTCAGCTTCGAACTACCCGTAAGCTGAGTAGTACACATTAATGACCAATACCTTATGGAGATATACTGGTTCTAAATTTTCCCTTCGGCTTACTGCGTTGCGTTGTCATTTCTAAATGTGTTTGTTTTTTATTTGTAGTAGATAATTTCTTAATCTAAAACTATTCCGGCTGCCAGGGCCGGCCCTGGTGCATGGCGAGCTGGGCCCTGCCCAGAGCCCATTATTATAGAGGGGCACCATTTTTTTTAATTTTTTTTACCATATACCTATTTTATGTTCTTTTTTTCTTCTGTTCGTCTGCAATTAATTCAACAGAACGCTGTTTTATCTTATCAATTCAACAGAACACCGTTTGCTCTTCTCAATTCAACACAGCGGCGATTATTTTTCATTCTCCAATTTGTAAGATTTAACGTTCCGAATTCTTCTTCTTCAAATGTCAATAAATTGGTTGTTCTCCTCATTCTCTTTTCCTCATTCAATTTCAAAGGATACAATATTATTAACGATATTTTTTTTACTCATTTTTTTCCCATTATCCCGCTGTCACCGTCTTATTTCTGGTCGAAGCTCGAAGGTTTCCATTTATTTATGTTGTCGCCGTCCTATTTCCAGTCTAAGGAGTACTCCAGCCGATAATCTCCATTTCATGTCATTTTGTTGGGTAAGGTTTAAGGTCTTCACTAATTTTTGTAGCTTCTTTCTCCCTTGAGTTTTCTATTTTTCTCTGATTTGTTCGGAAAAAATATTTTCTATTTTTCTTTGATTTTGTCTTTACTTATAAACTTTATTCCTCCAGAATCAAGCAAGCGGGAGCATAACTTGCTCAACCAAAGGTCATTATGTAATTTATTTCATTTTCTATTTTTTTTCTTCAAATCAATGATTTTAATTGCTTAGCCAAAGTTAATTAATTATAAATAATCATTCAACATATTAATTAACTTAATTTTCACTAATTATGAAAACCACAGAGGCACATACTACAGATGATACATTGAAAATCTGAAAGTGATGGTGATACCTGGAAAGACTTATCTCCTTTGTGTGATTCCAAATAGTTATTCGAATTGGATTTTGAATTTCAAAACGAAGATAATTGACATAGCCAGGTGATATCATTTCTTTTCCTCACTTGATTTTATTCTATATTTATTGAATTTTGATAGTGTTCTAGTATCGTGGAGTCTATTTTTTTCACGAAAAATTGAATATATTTCTTAGAAAACAAGCATCGGATTATCAAAAAAAGCAAAAAATAAAAAATAAAAAAATAAAAAACAAGAAGAAGAGGATAAATGATTGAGAAAATCTATGGATAAATGGATCTTAAAAAAATCGTGATAGTTTAGATGACACAATAGTTGAGGTTTTAGAAAATACTAATAAAGTAAATGGCGAGACTAAAAATTGTGTGGATGAAGAAATTGATGATATAATAAAAAATGAGATGGAACTGAATGTGAATGAAAAAAAATGATCATACATTTAATGAATCAAATTTAGATGTTGATATTTATGACCCAAGAGTATGGGATGGTTTAGATGCATAGTTTAGAGATTTGCTCGTATACAAAGTTCCTAAAAGACTATCAAATTTAGAATATCCTATTAATAAACTTGGTAGGCATTTCTCTTCCAATTTTTATATTCTTGTATTTTCAAATGGCAAAAAACATGACAAAATTTGGCTTGTATACTGAAAGGACTTAGAAAAAAAGTATTTTATTTTTGTTGCAAGTTATTTAAAACAATGCCCCTTATTAGCAACCGACGGAATTTGTGATTGGAAACATCTTAGCGAAACATTTACACAATACAAAAATAGTAAAGATCATATCATGAACTTAAGAAGTTGTGTTGAGTTACGAATTCGATTGAACAAAAATAAAACAATTGATAGATAAATACAAGAGCTAATTAAGCTAGACACTCAACATTGGAAACAAGTTATGCTTTGAATAATTGCTGTTGTGAAATGTCTCGCAATACATAATTTCACATTTTGTGGTACAAATAAACGACTTAATGAAGTTACTAATGGATTTTTTTGGGCTTAATTGAAATGATAGGGGAGGTTGATCCAGTGATACAACATCATTTTCGACTTATTCAAGATAAAAAAAACAAATCATTATCATTATCTTAGCCATAAAATACAGTATGAGTTGATACAAATTCTAGCTTGAATGGTCAAAGACGCAATTATTAAAATTATAAAAGATGCAAAATATTATTCAGTAATCCTTGATTATACTCATGATGCAAGTCATTAAGAACAAATAACAGTAATCATAAGATATATGTATGTGTCAAATACACCAATAAAAATAGAAGAGTATTTTTTAGAATATAGAAATGTGGTTACTTCTAGATTTGGATATTTTAATGTATTGAAATCTATGTTAACATCTATTTGACTTGATTTTCATAATGTTGGGGGCAAGGGTATGATAATAGCTCTAATATGAGAGGAAACAACATAGGTGTTCGGAGAAGATAACTTGAAATTAACCCAATAGCATTTTATATGCTATGTACTTCTCATTATGTTAACTTGATTCTTTTTATTAAAGCAAATAGTTTTTTGGAGCTTGTCAATGCATATATATTGTGTTTGCTAACTTCACAAAACGTTGGAATATTTTACTTGATTATATTTATGGGCTAACTTTAAAGTCGTTGTCAACTACAAGTTGGAAAAGCCATATTGAAAGTGTTAAAGCAATTTTATCTTAAATTTCCCAAATTAGAGAAGCTTTGGTTAAGTTGGTATAAATTAGTGATTATGCCAAATTGAGCGGAGATGCAGAATCATTTGCATTAGGAGAACTTTCAAATTTCAAATTTTTATTATGTTTACTCATTTGGCATGATGTTTTTCATCGAATTAATGTAGTTAGAAAAAAATTACAATCTAAAGATATGTGTTTTGATGTTGCTGTTAAACAATTAGAAGGACTTATTTCGTTGTTTAGAATTATAGAATAAATGGATTGAATTCAACTATTATAGGTGCTAAAACGATAGCAATTGATATGGAAATTGAGCACGTATTTTCTAAAAAAAAAAGACTTTGTAGAAAGAGGCATTTCGCTGAAACTTCTAATAATGAAAGAGAACATGCATCAACAGAAGAATATTTTAGAACAAATTATTTTCTTGTAATAGTGGATAATGCTCTTTCACAACTGGGGAGTAGGTTTGAACAATTGCAATTATGTCCATCTAGTTTTGGATTTTTATTAGATGCAATTAAATTAATTTCATTAGATAGTGAAGAATTAAAGTGTTGTTGTGAGAATCTCGAAGATGCTTTATAATTTGATGATGTTTCTGATATTAATGGTAGAGGTTAACACTCAGAATTAGAGATGTTACAAGTTATTATACCAAGTGAAT